TTCATCCTCCCTGTTTCCTCTTCTTCGAGCAATTTTCATATTCATCCTTTATACAATCTTTAGGCATTTCTTCAGCAAGGCTACCTGCAGTTCCAAGTTTTTGTTTTTTCCTATGCCTTATGTCACCTATAGGTCTTTAGTCTTAATGGAAAGCTCAAATTTATGATTAACCTTCTCAAGCTTGGCCAACTTAGCTTGACCAACTCAACAACTCGGTTTGTCGGCAACTAGGCCAACTCGGCATTAACAACAACTCTATAAAGAAATTCGTCGTTAAAAACCCTTTCCACCTCTCTCCCAAAATCATGGACCAAGGTCTTGTTGGCCTTCGTGCTCTAGGTTGGTGATAAATGTGGTTGGGGATCGTTGATGATGAGCTTACATTCAGAGAACAAGAGGTTTCAGATGGGCTGATTGTTAGCTTGGGTCTAGGGACGAACTTGGGAGAGAAGTGTAACACCCCTTTCAAGATGCCACATGTAGCTTACAACAATTTCATTAACTTAAGAAAATCACAAACTCTAATACCATAGCGAAATAGTGAATAAAAAAACTTTGTTTAATTATCGCGAATGAAAACAAACCATGCGAAAACAACATTATATCAAACCCAATCCATGAGATGTTATTTAAAAATTACTTCTTAAAATAAGGTATTGGCTTAATTACAATTTGAAAAATCCCCTATAAGGTTTTCTGACACCTCTTCTCGCTCTAAACAACACCAACATCATTTGTAATATCATCTACTCCCGTATAACAACATGAGTTATATGATAATCACACAAATACAAGAAAAAGATAACTAGAGAATACACATGATAAAATATAAGAATCTTATCACTCACCCACACCGTTTAAACCAACAATTTGAAGCAAAACCACATTCATGAACATCATCAAGTCGTATTATAACCAAGTAATACTCAACCAATATGTAACTTACCATTTACTTTACTTGCTCCACATAAGCCTTATGGCTTATGGATAATTTTGGAATTTTGGGAAGTGAACCTGACAAGGGCTAGCCTTGCTCCTACGTATCTCCACTTTTGATGGAGAGTCAAGGATCACATAGTTCTTGCTGAGAGATTGTTTGTTTGCTTGAAAGTGTTGATGTGTTTTTAGCTTTTGAAGATTTTATATATTTTTTGATATTTTTGCGAAAAAGGAAGGTAATGAGTACTAGGCAAACGCAGATGGTCACACGAGTACTCATACCTTTAGAATGATATTTAAATATTTATTTTTTAATTATTTTTACGAAGAAAGAAAGGTGTTGAGCACTAGGACGATGCAGACGATCACACGAGTGCTCAACCTTTAAAACGATATTTAAATATTTTTTGATTATTTTTTTAAAAAGAGAAAGAACGATATTAAGCACTAGGACGATGCGAACGATCACACGAGTACTCATACCGTTATTTACTTATTTAGGAAACCTAAGGGTATTGAGTGCTAGGCTGATGCAGACGATCGCACGAGCACTCATACCAGTATTTAAATTTTTTAAGTTGAGGATATTAAGTACTAGGCTGATGCGGACGATCGCACGAGTACCCATATCATTATTTAATCATTTAGAAAGACCTGAGAGTATTGAGTGCTAGGCTGATGCGAATGATCGTACGAGCACTCATACCATTATTTAATTTTTTAAGATTGAGGATATTAAGTACTAGGCAGATGCGAGCGATCGCACGAGTACTTATATCCCTTTTTTTTAAATATTAGAAAATCACTTTTTTGTAATTTTATAATTTTATCTTCTTCTTTTTTTACTTTATAAATTTTATGTAAAACAAAACAAACAAGTTCAATAGATAAAAGTAAAACAAAGGGATGGGGTCATCATACAAGGGGTTACATATAATAAAACCTAATAATCAAACAAAAAGTAAAAGTGAAGAAATAAAAGCATAAAAATAAAATAAAAGCGATCCCAATAAGAATAGGGGTGTAGAGATAAAACCTAGAGGTGCGGAGTAAATTTCTTATCCAAGCCCAAAGATAGGGGTACAACAGTAAGGTTGGAGGTGCTAGAAACGAAATGAGCCCAATGCCCAAATCTCTCTTTTTTGTTTGAAGAAACAGAATGAGCTTCAACCCAAATGGAAGGGGGTGTGAATAGGAACTGCTTCTCCGTAGGAAGAAAAAGGAAGCAACCCACACCAGGCCCAAGGCCTCTTAAACACAATCGGAAACCCATTAAGGGTTCCTCCAACTTCATCTAATTTTTCCATTCAGAGACCTTGCACGCTTAGGGTTCTCTATGAGAAAGGTATCCTAGGGATATTTGTCTCCTTTGCACGCGCGCTGCCGCCTCCGCCTAACCGACCACCGCTCACGACCACGACCTAGCCTCCACCCAACTGGCCACCGCAGACCGCAGTCCACGGCGTCGCTAGTGACGACACTCGCCGCCGAAGCCGTCGCCGGCCACTGCACCAGGCTCCCCTTCTCCTTCTTCTTTTCGCGAGAGAGAAACCTTCTCGTTCGTGAAGACGTCGGCCGTTTGTCGCGCAACCTGTTGCTGCCTCCAAGCCAGGGTCCTCGCTCTCCGTCGAGCTCTCTCCACCACCGTCGCGTCGCCGCCACGGTCGAGCCTGCCGCCAGTGCTGCCTAGAGCCAATGAGTTTCCCCCTTCTCCCCTTCTCTTATTCATCAATGTCGGCCTTGGCCAGTTTGCCTGCAACTCCACCATTCTCCGCGTTGAACTTGTTGATGAACGCTTCCACTCGCCGGTTCAATTTGTCCCGATTCAACGATGGCTCCTTCCTCAGCCCCGTCGGCGCGTTTTTCTCCCTCCTAGTAAACGTCTCTGATTTCTGCATCACAGGTCCACTGTTCAAATCCATCAATGGTGTCCCCTACGTCTCCCACGTCTCCGCACTCTTCAAATGCCTAGTTAACGGCATTGCTCGCCGCTCCGTTAGCATCCTTCACATGCTCTCCAACGTCCCATGCTTCTTCGCTTTCGGTACTCCCAACGCCACAACCTTCCTTCCTTCTGGACTGGCTCTAATTGTTGAGTTTAGGTACGTAATGCTCCACAGACGCTATTCTTCGATCCTTCGCTGCTAAGGCAAAAGAAACTCCAAAGGACGCACCAATCGCTGAGATTGATTGTGGCAAATCCACCATTGACTAACTCTGGGTGTGTGCGACGTTCTGTTCTGATATTCTATATTCTGTGTGCCAATGATGCGAGTGTGAGTGAGTGAATACCGAAGCAAATAATGTGATTTGGTTTTGTAGGTTGAGGGTGAGGGTCCTGATGTGTGAATGGAAGATGGGAAAATGATGGGTTCTCTGGCTTTGAGTGTGCTGAAGAAGATGGAAGGGAAAACGAAAGATGCACTGATGATGAGGAAGGCAATTATCTATGCGAGTGAATAGAGGAATTCAGAGTTGTGTGTGTGGTCTATGATGGATGATGAATTCAGTGAATAAAAATGGTGAAGGTGATATGAGGTTGTGCGTGGTAGGTGGGTGGATATGGGTTATTGGTGTGATGCGCGTGATGCTCTAGAGGTGAAATGTAAGAATGTGATAGGAGTGTGAGAGGTGAATCCTGGTTTGGTGAGGAATTATGAAGGGTGATAATGAAGACGATGTGTGAAAAGAACGGAGGTGTTGCTCCAAGGTTATGGAGGCCTCAGATTAAGATGATCGGTGTTGGAGGCAATGGAGAATGGTCAGAGGTGGATGATGGATCTGTTGGAGGTGAGGAATTGGGAGTGAAAAGGAATGTGGTTGGGGGTGGTTACAAGTCAGAGGAGCAGAGGGGTGGATTGCAAAAGGGCAGAGCGTGTCAGTGTGCCTGAATCATGATGGTGCGACTTGTACATTTTTTTGTTTTTTTCTTTTTCTTTTTTTTGTTTTTCTTTTTTAAAAAAAACTAATATAGAAAATAAAATAAAATAATATTAAACGAAATAAAATAATAGTATAATAAAAATAGAATTTAAATGAAAATGAAAGAAAATAAAATAAAATAAAATAATACAAAAATAAAAAGAGACATTATTTAGTCAATCCGGACGAAATTCGGTATCGACACTTTTCATATGCCTTATGAGTAAAAACTTTGTTTACTCTACAAAAGCCTTATGAACAAACCACTAGACTCAGCTCAAGCTAAAGCCTTATGGGCAAATCACAACTTTGCCTTTTCCTTGACTCACCAAAGCCCTCTAGGTGAAAGGAATAAATCTGACTTTAGAGTTACGAGAATAAGACATAAAACACAATCCTGTCTTCTAACACCAACTGAACCGAAGAGAAACAACAAAAAACTAGGTCATCAACACCATCTCAACAAACAACTACAAAACAACTTGATAAACCACAACACAACTCGACCATGTTCAAATAGAACTCAACAACCAACATACGTAGCTTTGCAAAGAAAATCACAACATGGTCAAAAAAACACACAACTCGACAATCATAACAAAAGGTTCGGCCAAGGTCAAAAACCTTATGGCCGACCTCCAAAATATCAAGACTGAGTTCCAAAACCTTTTAAGTACGGCCTTAAAACAACTTAGACCAAATAGCTCGACCAAACAATCAAACTTGACCAAATTACCCAGCCTGGTTAAATAATTCAACCCAACTAAACAATCCAGCTCGACCAAAGATCACAACTTGGCCAAACAACCCATCCTGGCTAAACACAACCCAACTAGGCCTTATGAGTTGTTTGTTTGGATATGGACAGGTCTGCTATTCACGTGAATGGAAAAAAACTGTATACAACTTATATACGAATGATTTATATATATTTTATATACGAATGATCCGTATATAGATCCGTATATAGTTTATATACGGATATATCCGTATATAAGTTATATATGGATAATCCGTATATAACATCTGTATATAAGTTATATACGGATAATCCGTATATAACATCTGTATATAATAATATATAATAATATGAATATGTTTAATTCTAAATATATTTTTGGAGATAGTAGACAGTAACTGTGTTTTATTTATAGTGGGGAATTCATGTACTTTGGTACTCCTTTCTCTTTATCTCTGTCCCAAGCGTTTGCTACTCTTTCCTTTCCCTTTCCTTTTCCTTTTCCTTTCCTTTCCCTTCCAATCCATGGCAGGAGAAGACCCCGCCTGTGACAAAAACATTGCAAAAAAAAATGCCTTCATTAACCACAAAAACGGATCACAGGATTTCAAAGACGCCACGATTACGAGCCCGGCGGTTGAATCTGCCTTCTTAAACATTGGATCAGGCCACCAAGTTTTCAGTGGCTCAAAGATTGAATGTGGTCCATCTATTTGGGACAAATTCAAACGCCTTGGGATATCTTCGCTTTTCAACTACGACGGAAGCAAAACCAAGAAATACAGTGATTTTCCAGAGCATCTACCCGCGGAATTGACGGTACGTTGTCTTATCATTTTTCTGTGCTTTTAACTTTACCTTTAATTCATATACTCACTCCCTATAATAAGCTATGTTTCGATTAACTTAACAAACTGAATTTTTTGTAATTATTTAGCTTCATCCAAACAGAATATAACTTTCAAATTTATAATTTTATACTGTACTTGAAAACAACATCTCATGCTTATTATGGTTTTCATGTTATTACCTTCAGCAAAATATTCCTGCCAAAGAAGAGGGAAACTCTGTTGAGGTGAAGAAAAAGTCTTCAACCAATCCGAAGTCCAATCCCAAACCTTCTTCCAAAAAACCATGAGTGAGGAAAAGTTATAGGTTTTTGTGTCATGCTCCTTCAATTACATGTATTAATTATGACTATCATAATAAAAACTCGTGTCTTAATTATAATTAGAAGTTTTCTTGATCTATGTAATTTCTTAAAACAATTAATAACTTGCAACTTTCATATTTTATCCAAAAACATGCACCTGCATAATGTTTTTCTTCCGTTTTCATGCAATGCTTCCTGCCTATATATTTCTCCTTTTCTATTTTTCTTTGAAACATAGAAACACTTTCTAATCAATGAGAAATATCTATTACATTCCTTTCTCTCAGCTTCTTCTTTCCTCTCGCGAGGTATATTAAGTTAATAATAAAGTTCATGTAACATCACCCTATTTTAAATAAATGTTGATAGACTAGTTTAGTTCAACAATGAAAAAAAAAATTATTACTTTATATTCTGCTTGTATTCTACAATTGTTTTCTTTTCAGGTTGGTTCTTAGAAAACTCTAGCTTACTACAGATTTAGGATGTGACTGCAAACATTCCATTCCTGATATCGAAAGTATAAGAGGAGCCCATTGTTTATGATATGCTTCAACTATTTCGTTATATGAAATGAAAAAGCATGTGATATTTCTTACTATTTTGTTCTATCAACTTGAGTGGAAGGTTTGATTAATTAACCTCTAGATTTCAAAGTTTAACATAAAGAACTTATGTATGATTTAACATAGAGAGGACCACAGTGGGAAATGTTTTCTAACATCAGTTGTTTTTGACATTTTATTTCTGTATTATAATTGAAACATATTCAAATAAAGTAAAAAAAAAAGAGAGTCTTCTGACTTTGTTTTGGAATTGAAGTATGAACTTCAATAAAACTTTGGTTATTTTTAAAATTGAAGCATAAAACAATAAAAAAATGGACAATGCAAATAATTAAATAAACAAAATGATTTTGATTATAGTAATAATCGGAATCTAATCTCTTTTTAATTATAAAAATAATTTAAATATAAGGAGAGAAGAGATTTCGATTTAAAAAATCGAAATATGTAATTGAAAAGACTTCAATTTTTTTAAGATAAAAGTCATTTCTCCTCTTAAATTTAGATTATCTTTAGAATTAAAAATGGATTAGGCTTCATTTATACCAGAACCAAAACTTATTTTTCCTTTATTTTTTTAATATTTTTGTTTTTTTTTATGTACCTACATAACGAACATGGACAGAATAAAAACAACAAGAACCAGTAGACAAAATCCATATACAATAATATATAAATGACAAATCAATGTTTCACAAATCCTATATATTTTATATAAACTTTTCTTAGATACTGTGTTGACATTGGTGTGAGATTGTTGAATATACACGAGAGACAATATTTTTTATTATTACATAAAAGGACAAAGTTCCGATGTATTTGACTCGATTAATTATCACCATTTTCCAATCATTTGTAATATGAGAACTAACCAAGTTTGTTATCCATTACATAACATAATTTATATGATATGGTTTGTTTATGACACTATAATATATTAACACAATTATAAATAATTTAGGAAAAAAAGAATCAAATAATTATATATGACCAAAAATAACAAACCCGTGGAGGAACAAATTATGAAAGCCTTTTAGTTGTATATGTTCAACAAATAAACCATGAAAAAGGGAGTATTATTAAATATATCATTATATAACAAAGAAAGTTCATAAGATTAAGGTCCCCACTAATCTATTAATCGAAATGTTTCAGCGGAGACTTATACAACAACCAAAACCATACAACAATATTCTATTTGAGAAAACTACAAGTAGTCGTTAATGACGTCAGAATTGAAAATACAATCGTTGTTATACCTTAAAATGATGTATTATAATTATAATACAACAAACTACACTTACACATATATAAAAGGGATTTAAGATATATTTTCTTCACCTATTCAAAACAAATGGTGATGTATACTTGGGTGAGATCAAACTTTTTACCTTAATGAATGAGTTGGGTTTTATGAACTTATATACATCACTCGATCATGCATTCTTACTAACATCAAACATATACCTAAAAATAAAACATTTATTTAATATAAGTAACTAGATACATTAATTAAATATAAATAATGGTTCAAAGACTTGTATCATCCATAATCCAGTAAGTGTAATATTCAATTATTCTTTCCCGACACAATTTCTAACACATATCTTCCCTATGCAAGTACAGTATGATTTCATTATAACTCTCCCAAATATAACTTCATCCTATGAAACCACAATTAGCTTATCGCTTATGATCTTAATAAGTTGGTGTAATGCATCAATAAAATTGTTCACAGGTAAAAAAAAACTTCTTTATTAGAAAGTGGTTTTTTTAAGCCTAACTCAACCCAAAAAACCGCCTTGTAAGGTGAGGTTCGCACCTCACTTATATATATTATAAATTGGCCTTATCTCTAGTCGATTTGGCCCTTCCAACACATCCCCTTTACGCCGAGGTATAGATATCTCGTGCGTGAGAGTAGAAATTGATGGGCTGGTCTGATAGCGGCCTGACAACGGGTGGAAATAGAAATGTCCACATAGAACTCGCTAGGATAGGCTTAACTCAACCCCACAAAATCGGCTTGTAAGGTGAGGTTTACACCTCACTTATATATTATAAATTGACCTTATTTATAGTCGATATGAGACTTCAAACATTCTTTGTGAATTTAAGACTTTCTTCTCTGATGTGACTATTATTACATGGAAAACAATTTAAGTAATTATGAACACAAATAACATAAAAACATAAAAACAAAGTAGTGTATGCCATTAAATGAAATTGGAGTTATTATTAGATTCTAACATTATTAGAGTTATTGTTAAAAATACAAAACTGTGTAAAAAACACAGGTTGTCAAATCATAATTAAAATCAAATCCGTATCTTAGAATTTCAAATCAATAAATACAAACTATTTTTTGAAATAAATAGTTTTGAATGAAAGTTTACAGAGAGAAAGGGACATTTTATTTTAAAACCAAATGATAAAATATAATCCATTCAAAATCAATGTTTTAACATTTTAATCATATTTTTTAAATTTTATAATTTTTTTTAATTTAAATTAGAGTTTAGTGGGAACGGATATCTACATATACAAATACTATGATATTCGTACGAGTCTCATTAACGTACAGCTAGAAACAATACCTATATCTGTTATTTGTAGAAAATCATTTATATATCTATTTCCTACCGATTTTTATCTTTAAATATCTGCAGTTATGATTTTTTTTTTTTTTATATCTTTAGTTAGAAAAAAGTGGACTTAAGAGTCATACAATGTCAACACTATCACAGCCATACCAACGAGGACTATGCCTTCAAACAAGACAATCTCCATAATGATCGCCTTCAAGATAGACAAATTCATTTTGATAAAGTTTCAGGTTGACTATAACAACTGAATATATATACTCCAGCGGAAAACCTTTAAACGTCTAGAAGTGTTCGAATATGCCATCCTGAAATAGATTAACTTCCACACCAAGTTTGGAGAGAACAACATTATTGAACCATCCAAGTTGACAACAACACATCAACACATCATGGAATGTCTTTCTCGACCAAACATTTCGACCATTAAATTAAAAATAATCTACATCATTTATTTTCATCAATATAAATGGATTCATAAATATATAATTTATCATTTATTCTCAACAAACGAATTTATAATATATATTTTAGTGTCGATCTAATTCATGCAAATGTTATTTTTATTTTAATATTATGTCTACTAATATTTATAAAAAATAAAATTTCTTTTAATATTTAACGTGGACTTAGTCAATACTGATTATTTATGAATAAAAATTATTTATTTTATTACTGGGCTTCACCCATACTACTTCTTTATAGGTTAAAATCATTTTTTTTATTCTTTGACACTGATTTGACTGAGACGATTCTTTTATAAATAAAAATATTGTTTTTATTACTTAAGGTGGTTTAAATGACATTACATCTTCGTAAATAAAAAATAATTTTTTTGTATTACTTTGTGTTAGCGTGGATCTGATACTAGTATTTTATAAATAAATATTAATATTTTGTTAATTATTTAATGTGGACTTGACCAACACTAACTTTATATGAATAAAAATTAAATTTAGTTTTACTATGAGACCGACTTTAACATATAAAAATGTGTCCAATACCGATGTTACTATATAAACCAATGCTGCATTGTGAAAGCTAATTCATTGATTTCTTTTATGAATTTTTATGTTAGACATAATGCATATGATGTCAGACATAACGAGTTTGACACCAATTAAGATAAACATATTAGAAAAACAAGATGTTACCACACTTTCTTAAAAAAACATGTTATCAAACTTTTTCCACAATATATCAGAATCTAGCATAAATTTAGTGATGACATTGTCATATTTTTCATTAGTTAGCTTTTCTGAATCTATTTTTTTCTCAAAACTATTAAACTTTCTTGAAGAGCTTTCTTGGGAATACACTTCTCTAATTTTGAATATCTAGATAACCATTCTTATATATATATATATATATATATTATGTTTCCTAATAAGTCAAAACATATTCTTCGCAACAGATTTTGGTTATCCAAATTTAATCATATATCTTCATATTTTCATACTTCCTCAAATCTGTAATCTATGTATTTCTCCCTCAAACGAGAAAATAATTGGAATGACAACAGATGCACATGAGTCTTTGTTATGAATGATCTTTCTATGTTTTATCTTATAAAAGTATTATTAGTTGCATGTTTTATATTATAAAGGTAATCATTAGTATCACATGTTATGTAATTAGAGTTTGAAGACTTAGTGCGTGGGTGTTGGGTTGAGCAGCTTTACGTACGTGAATTCATTTTAGGTGTCAGTGGGACCATCTTAATTATGAGTATTGGGGCATTAATACGCTTTATAATTGGCCTATATTAATACTCTCATGATGGAAGTAGTGGTAAAACCCAATCATATGATAAATTAATTTGACGCGTCTTTGAAAGATAGGCATTCTGTAGAATCAGAAATTGTCGATTCTGTCCTCATCCTCACATTTTTTTCATTGACTGAAGGCCTGAAAGGTCAAAAGAAACGACAAGTTGTAGTTTTGGTCTAAAACAATGAAGATAACGAGAGTACTATGTTGGTTGGGTGCGTGCAAACCGGGACCATGAATACTGTTTATTCATAGCCACTAGCAACTTTAGTTCTTTAATAGTATTCAATGGTGCTTACTAGTTAAGTATTTAAGTATTTGTCTCCTTTTCTCCATGTTGGTTGGTGTAAGTAAAACAACGTTAGAATAATAATCCAATTGCATCCTCGTAAAAAAATATTCAAAGCTTTTGCATTGATGCCAGGAATGCCAGCCTTTTGAATAATCTTTGTGGACGGATGAGGTTAGGTAGGAGATATTCAGAAGAAAATAGATTCGTTCATAATCTTATTTCTAGATTAAGAGAATTCAAAAATAAAAGTAATCAAACTCTAAAGATAATTGCATAAAATTATAAGGATTAAACAGTTGGTTAGTGTAAATACAACAAATAAAACACTTCGTTTAAGTTTATTAAACTTCATGTCTATTGGATTTGATTATGTTATATGTCTAGGGTTTGGTTTGCTTTTTCACATCTAAGAGTAAATCATAGGGTTTTTGGTGACAACAACTTTGTTTAATTTTGTAAAAAGGTTGAAGTATTCAAGTTTTATCTATTTATTGGTTTTTGTTAATAATAAGTAGTTAAAATTTTGATAAGTAATTATTCCAAAAAAAAATTGCTTTGGGTCATAGCATAAAATCATAGCCCCTAAAACATGAAAACTATGACCTAAAATTTAGGTTACTTTTTTTCCAGCCGAGGATTAGATTTTCCTGGCCGTAAATAGTAACTCAGTCTATGTAACAATATTTTCAAAATCGTGGATTAAAATCTTAGCAATCACTACAGTTTTAAACCTGCTTTAGACTACATTTATTAAACTCTTCTTTTATGTTTTAGATTACACTAATACATGTTTTGACTTTGAGTCTAAACCACATTTACTAAATTATGGTTTTAGGTAATTGGTATTTTTTTAAAAAAAAAATTGCATAAATTGTTTATACAAAACTTCATGATGAGAAAATTGTAAATATCTTCGACTCATAATATTATATAATTAGAGATCACACATCAACAGTTCAAACAATATTACCATCCATAATACATATGATTCATCCGTATAATTCAAACCACTTAATTAAAATAATTAAAACTACAACAAATGTCTCCCCTAATATTTAGTCTACACTATAAATTTTATCGTATAATCTTTTTTCCTCTGAATGATTCGAAGTCTACAACCTTTTGCCAAATGGCCATTTTAGGTTTCTCTGACCTCTTCACCCAACAAAGTTTCTTAACAACCTATTCACTCTTTATTTTTCTTGAAGGTCTTTCTTAGGTCTTTTTCTAGGCTTTGCAGTTAACCTTCCAATTGATTGGTTGACTCGAAAGCACCCAATATCCACCAGGTCTTAGAGCTCGATCAACTTCAATGATATATGTTATCTGAAATGAAGAGTCCAAAATGCAGTTTTAAACAACTTTTAAACTTTATGCTCCCCAAAACGCCAATGACAACAGGTACACCTCTTTCAAGAGCAAACTGAACTAATGCTTCATGATTAACCTGAGCAAACAACCTGACATAATATAGCAAAAAGTAATGATGCAGGAACACAACCATCACATATAAGTGTAGCTATATTGGATCTTATCGCATAAACTAAAACTATTTGATGCGTATGTTTTTGATCCTACACCCTCTGTAATCCAATGCCAACGTAAAGCCAGCAAAACTGCAGGATTATTCCTCATCTACATAGAAGCATTGCATAGTATGAATTCTTTATGATTGAGGTGCAGAGTAAAAAAATGAACAGACCGAATGGTAAAGTAGAAAGAAAGGTGGAAACAGAATTGTACAAGAAAACTACATAACTAATGCTACACCAGTTACCAAAATTAATCACACTATGCCAACAATGAGGGTAAGGAGTTGTTAACAAAATGTTAGACGGATACAACTTATGATTACATAGAGAGGAAATAAGTGCGAAAAATAAATATTTATATGATTAAATTGATGACAATGTTCATGTAAAACATAGACAGTAATGTAACTGGATAACAAAGATAATAGTTTGATTATATGTGCTTAACAATTAGTTTACAAGTATAATAGGAGGTCTATGAATCTAACGTAAAACATTATCGTATATAGGTGTTTAATTGCTAAGACCATTGTTTATATATGAATAATTGTGTGTCTCTATCTCTAGACACAACTAAGAGTTCAAAATGTTAACTGTGATGGAGATAATATTTAATATATGTTTACTAAAAGTATAATTTACATGAATTAAAAAAAAAAAAGGACTTGTGTTTTTATCACCAAAATTTTCCTTATTAATTATCCAGAGCACGAGCATGCATGTCAATATATATATATATATATATATATATATATATATATATATATATATATATATATATATATATATATATATATATATATATATATATATATATATATATATATATATATATATATATATATATATATATATATATATATATATATAAAAAATTACTTTAACAAAGTGTGCATAAAATATACACACATTTGTACAATATCTGAAGGTTCTGAATGGTAGACTTAATAGACACGGATCAGATAGTTTGACATTATATTTTCTTTATATTACCACTTAATAGCTATTAATATTACTATTTTATTTCAAACTTTTACTTATGTTTATTTTTATTAGGGTTATTACTACCAGGAATTGTAAAGTGAGAGTTATAAAAAAATTTGGGTGGGAAATGATCATTTTTCTTTTTTTCTAATGACACTTATCCTTTTGTGTTACTTGGATTCCTTCCATACTCTTTTCCACACACTGGGTCTCTCTTTCTCCATTCTTTATTTTGGTGTCTCTCCTTCTCTCTCTCTCTCTCTCTCTGTCTCTCTCTCTCCTGCAGAAAATAGAAAGGAGCGTCTTTCTGCATAGTTTGATGGAAATGAAGGAGAATTCAGTTAAGGTATGAGTTCCCAAGCTTGCATCTAAAGAATATTTTCCTGCTGTTCCTGTTTCATTTTCCTCTCATATTACTGTTACTAATTATTAGATCTGTTATATTTACTTCTGTGCTTTCAACTCTCTTTCTAATCAACGAAAAATGAAAAAAAAGAAAAAGAAAAATGATTACTTCTGTACTTCTGTAACACTATCAATCTTGTGCCTGAGTTGGTGAATTGAAGATCCGCACTAGAGAAACCCATAACACAAACATCTCAAGCTTGTTTTCACTCGTTTGTAGACATGGAGGTTCAGTTTTGGTTCTCCAATTAAAGCTTAGAGGTTTCATTGAAACCCTATTTTTACATCTTCGTCTGTTCTAACGGTGGATCTAATTTTTTTTTGGTTTTCGTTGTACATGGCTGACCCACGAGATCGACGCTGTTGTGTAAGGAGATAAACCAAAACCCTTTTGCTTTTTATAAGAGTTCAGTCCTTTTCCCTGTCTCTCTCTTAATTGCTTCCCGTTTACTACATTAAAATTTCTATATTCGCAAAGGGTTTCGAGCTCCAAGTTTTCTACTCCTGGGATGCTCTGGCAGGTGTTGGATCTTGTCCTTAGACAACATGGGCTAACACAAATTATGGTATAAAACAATGATCCGTTGAGATCGAAATCAATGATTATATAAACTCATAAAGTGAAAACTGATTAGGGCTGTCTCAAATTAACGACGGGGTAAAAAATTCAGACATGATGACAAAACTACGACACAGACTTCTTCTCTTGGGTAGCTGTAATAGGTGTGACCGTCTTTCACATATCTTCCCATTCCCTTAATATTTTATCATCAGTTACTTTGTGTATCCTTTTTTTTTATTTTATTTTCCTCTTCTAATCAATGTTATATATATTGTTAACTTTTTTTCTCTTTCTTTATTACAACCATTCTTCACTAAAATAAGTTGTAATCCCGGATATAATACAAACAAAAGGTGAAAGAATGAAGCATATTCTGTATTCCCCATTTTCCAACTAAACAAGTGATACACCTAATATAACACAAAAATTTGAAATCATATATAATATGTATGAAGTTGTGTTTTGTTAAATATAGTTATAACACCTTTGTTATGCATATATTTTATATCCTTCTTCTATCCACAAATTTATTTATTAATCTTTTAAGAAACTCATGTTGTAGGAACCAATTTGGGAACCTGTTGAACCTGTAGCTCCAACAACCAGGACCAAAACCAAGTCCGTGGAATTTGAAGGTATATACTCTTCTTTACACGAACGGATTCATTCATATTAATTACTTTGAATATTCTCACTCCTCTTTGCTAGAATCCATTCAAATTTGCTTTAGTAGAAGAAGAGTAATCTTTGATCACCTTTTTATTCTTCAAACTCTAAAAACATTGCAGAACTCTCCTTGGACAAGCCAATTTTTGAAGCTTCCCCATTCGTCGTCATTAGCCGAGCTCTATCTGTTATATCTGCGTTCATCGCTGTGCTCTTTTCGCTTCTTGTATTCGCAGCTTGTTTCCCCAAAATTTGTCTAGATGCCGCTAACATATGGCTAAGGAAAACCACAGAGAAATTAAACGCCAAGGGTAAGGAAAGAGAGAGCCACGTGAATCGTGGCGAAACCAAAAATTTTCTGGAAGCTAGTTTCAGTGGGAAAGATAAAGAGACAAGGAACACAGAAACCAATAACCCTAACCGACATGGCAACTACAAAGAGAATCGAAGATTGTATGCTTCCGTCATTACTGGCAGCCAAACTGCCAATTCTGTTGACCATGGCTATGCAATTGATAACTGCTTTAACAACTATGGCGAAGGGGAGCAAGATTACAGCTATTGTGAGGTTAACTGTTCTACAAGTAGAGATTCCTATAACAACCATGCATCGGGCCTACAAGCTCTCAGCGGTGCAAACATTTGGACTTCTAAAAGTGAAGATGCCTTTAACAACATGAGCATATACTCACAAACTTACAGGGGTGCAAAAATTGGCAATTCTGAGGACCGCAAAGCAATTCGTCGTGTCTACAACAATGGAAAGAACGGAGTCCAAAACTACGATGGTTATACAAATTTGCTGGGGAAACATAATGAATGAACACCAAAGTCCTTGTTGACATTCAAGAGAGAGAAAAAGTATGGATTTTACAGACAGTTATCGTTATCATGCAATTTATTTATCATGTATCTCAAGACTATGTTTATTGTTGGTATGCATGCATGGACACCATATCGAACTGTTTGAAGTTAATAGCTATATGTTCTACTCTTCTTTCCCATATGATTTCTCCTTCGTTTCAGTTTCACACATTTTTAAATGTGCGTGACATGTTCTAAACAGATTCATTAAGGGTTCATCTAAATGTAATTAGTTTAGTTTAATTAAGATCAGAACTATTCTTTCATCAGTTGCAGCTAGTACGATTGGGACCAGAAGTTAGTTTTTACAATTATGAAAAACAACTTGTTGGAGTTAAAGTTTATTTTTTAGAAGGATTGGGTAACCTTATTGTTATATATATTATACTATATAATATATTTATGTAGTTGTTTAAAATAAACTCGGATCAAATCATGTTTAAGAAAATCAGTTTAAAGCACTATTGGTCTTTGTGAGTTTTTTTTTTCTTAATCACATTGGTCTTTGTAAGTACGGGAAATGAAGACAGTATTTAAAATTGATGTTGGAAATTAGTTGCTGAGTATAATTTAATTTAAATTTACCAAACCAATTTAAATTTTAAAAAATCTATCAGTAATTTTTTTTATCTCACAATTCTTTCTTAATTTTATCTCTATTTTCATTTTCAATTCTAATAAACTGGTACAATGAAATTTTCACTATCGAACACTCTTATCGTCTGATTAAGTCATGCACGCAAGAAAAGAGAAATCACATATAAAATGCACTGATATTTTTTACAAATATATTATACATCACACACTTATACAAAAAAGTTTGCTATTTATAATGTTTTATATACAAAAGAAAGAAGTGACACTTATCTCAAATACGTTTGTCTAATTATATATAATTGCTTCTATAATGGTTAAAAGATTACCCATTTTCTATTTACCAAAAGCTTTTTTGCTTCTTTACAGCATAATTTTTTAATATATTGTTTTGAGAATAGTATTAGTATTTCTTTTCGATATTAAAGAATATAAATTATAAAAAGCATTTATAGTACTCTTATAGGGAATGTTTTTACAATAGATAACAAGATCAATTTTGTTGGAAACTGTTTTTGGAGACCTAAATTAAATTGGGCCTTAAGCCAATCTTTGCTCTAGTCCTAGACACTTAAAAAGTCGCAAGTTAGGAAAGAGAAAAAAACTGTAAAAGACTTCAATGATTGTTGGAAGGTTAATTATATATGTTTGGATAATGGTGTACAGTACAGAACCTATCAGAACCACATGTTCTTCCTCGCATTTTCATTTGTCCTATCAAAATACTGATTGGTCATTTGTTTTCTGTGGTGGACCATCTCTTAATTGGTGTTTTTCTTTTGTCGGCTGTTGTATGATACCAATGCTACGTAGGTTTGGTATCCTTCAACTTCTTCAATTTCCACGAATTTTCTACGAAACTACATCTATTCCACACATAATAAACCTAATATATTTACTTATTTATTTATTCTTTCTTAAATTATTTTATATTTAAGAATAAAAATATAATTTTAACAGTGTTAAATAGGTAAGAGAAAAATGAAATGTCTATGTACCACTGTTCATAAAAACTATTTTAATTTTATTAACTGTTTAGGTAGGTATTGTAACTAAATGCATTCCATACAACTTCTCAAGTTTCTCAGATTTGCGGAAACCAGACTTTCAGCCAATACTTTGGCAAAGTAAATATTTATTTTAAGCCACAGAAATTCAATAAATTTCATAGAAAGAGCATAGAATTAACAAATACAAAAAATTTAGAGACAAAATTTCAGTGCAAAAATATATAATATAATCACGAGAGAATCCAATCATGCAACTTCAGGCAAAGTAACATATGCTCATATTCAACACAATATTTTCATGAAGAATCGGAAACCTTCCCTTTAGCCAAGAAGCAAACAAGCTGTGAAGCTTATGGATGGAGAAAATGGAGAATCTTGGAGCAATCTTCTCGAATGGAAGCAACATATATATAGCACCACCAGCTAAGATTTTCATTGACAAAAATCAAAGCATTAAACATGGTTGGAGAGGGTTAGCCAAGAAAGGAGAAGAAAATAAGTGAAGTACTCACCAAAGAATTTTATTTCCAAACACTGAAAGCACCAGTACAATAAAAGGAAATGGCACCGGTTGCTTTTACTTATAGACCCCGGTTCTACAACCGAGGCGTATACGAACGAGATAAAAAATAATAGGTTTTATGCCTCGGTTGCTGGTCGAGTCAAAAAGAATAGGATTATGCCTCGGTTCTCAGGGAACCGAGGCGGTAACGTATTATTTTTTTTTTCAACCATCCACAACCGTTCTCAGCCGTTCTCAGCCGTCCTCAGCCGTCCAGCCATTTGGGATTCAAAGCAAAAACAACAACAGTTCAAAAATGCATTCACAGCAAAAACAACATAAATGCACAACGCAAAAGCTTCATAGCACAGTATACATCATCAACAAATCAGAAGTTTCGCGGTGGCCGTCGGGACTGAAGATCGCGTGCCCCAGATCGTGTCGGTACCAGAGGCGGAGGCGACCCAGTCGTCGTTGAGAGAGAAACGCGCGATGGTGCCGGGCCGGAGGCGACCCACTCGCGATCTGGGCTTCGCGATTTGGGGCTTCGCGATTTGGGGCTTCGCGATCTGGAGCACTGTCGGAGGCAGAGAGGTCGCGATCTGGAGGAACCCGCGACGCAGAGGTCGCGATCTGGAGCACTGTCGGAGGCAGACGCAGCGGTGACGGTGGCGCGGTGGAGGAACCCTATTTCCGGCAGAGGCAGAGGCAGAGGTCGCGATCTGGAGGAACCCGCGACACAGAGGTCGCGATCTGGAGCGGTGGATGAAACCCGCGACGCAGAGGCAGCCGTGGAAGAGGTGGAGGAACCCGCGACGCAGAGGAAGAATGGAGAGCAGGAGGAAGGAGAAGCTGAGGAAGGAGAAGCCGTGGAGGAAGGAGAAGCCGTGGAGGAAGGAGAAGCTGAGGAAGGAGAAGCCGTGGAATGTTGATTTACGCTAAGTGTAGAGTGGCAGGGAAAATAAGCTATTGCTTTGGCACCGGTTAAATGGCCAACCCGAGGTATAAAGCCCTCGAAACCATTTACGATTTCGGTTCCTAGTTAACCGATGCCTTTAAGTCTGACGTGGCAGTGATATAGGCCTCGGGTTTCAAATTAACCGGTGTAATATCATTATTCTACTGCGGGTCTTAGCTTAACCGAGGCATATATATTAGCTTTATTTACGATTCTGCCACCGCGCTTTTATATGCTTCGGTTTTACTTAAACCGAAGCATATATAGCGATTTTAAATCCTCTTTTTGTACTAGTGAAGGAAGGAATAAAAGTTTATTTGAAGGTTCACCTTAGCTTCAGAGTTTTGGAGACAAGGGAAAATAGGTGGAGATATCTTCGTCCAAATAGGGAAGAAATGAGGAAAAGTCAACTGGTTGATACTAAGACAAAAATAAATAAATCTTTTAATCAATTTTTCATAAATATTTTATTTCTAAAACCATCCATTGTAAACAAGACTGATTTGGCCAGTACTCTCCAGTAGACCAATTGACTAGTTAAAAAAAAAATTAATCTTCAATAATTTTTAAATAATTTTCATCTTGATCTTGAAAATTTAAAAATTTGTTTTAATTTTTAAAAGTGTAAACTGAACCGATTTTATTCTTTAACTTTACAAGAATACACATTTTATACCTTAAAATAGCTAATTTTAACGATGATATTATACTTATACTTCAATTTAAATCACTTATCGTGTTTGACTTGTATGTATATGATGCTTTATGATACTTTAAAGATATTTATTAATTATTAATAAATTATTAATGAAGTATCTAATTTATATAAAATAGTATTTTGATGATGAAAATAATTTATAATTTTTCATGTTGATAATGTTAATATATATATATATATATATATATATATATATATATATATATATATATATAATTTTAATTCTGATTCACACAAACAATCATTAAATTTTTTTTATAAACTATTACATAGATTTCAATATCTATATATTACGTACAGTATCTTATTATTTCTAAATAAATATATTTTCAAGTATCATATGTTTGACTTAAATTATAATAATTATAAGGCTTAAATGTTTATAATTCCTAAACTTAGACGTTGGATACATTTTAGACGTTGGATACATAACAAGTTAATTAAAATAAATATTCATCAATATAAAACATTAATCAAAATAAATATTAAAAATAAATAATTTATATAAATTTAATAAATATTAAAAATAAATAGTTAGTAGTAGTTTAAACATTAATAAAATATTGAAAATAAATACAATTAGCAAGTAGAGATTATAAAGTCTATATTAAGATAAGATTATAAATCTCAAATATAGAGACTCATATCATTTTTTTACCGTTTTTATTCTCTTGTAGAAATAACAGATAAAATAATTTTGTAATTAATTATTCATCAAATAAGTGTGATCACAATATAGGATAAAAAAATAGGGTTAAATATGTTTTTAGTCCCTCAACTATCAAGCGATTTTATTTTTTGTCCCTATTTCAAACTTTGTACGCTTTGATCCCTCTCCTTAAAGAAATCATAATTTTTGGTCCTCCAAAACTAACACCGTTAAATTTTATCTGACGTGGCTAACGATGTGCCACACATGATACTAGCTTTCACAGTAATCTTGTGCCACATTCACGGTGTGCCATTGTTCACCACCCTCTTCTCCTTCTCTCACCACCTTCCCCTTCAACTTCGTGCTCGCGCAAGCCCGCCACCACCAACCTCTCGCGCAAGCCGCCGTCTCCAACCACAAGGCAGCGAACGCTGGTCCCACCAACACCATGAAATTTGCAACAAAAAATGCTACCGTGTTTGGGTCCTAGGAAATTCATACTCTGGTTCAGTGCAAGCCAGATCTATCAAGTGAAGATTACAGTGAGTGTTTGGGTGATATCAATCCCATTTACAGAAGATTTGACTCTCACTTAAAGGTTGTAGTGAGTCTAGAGTGTTTGGGTGACATTTATGAATTCATTAGGAATGCAAAAAGTTTTCTCACCGTTTATACTAGGAAATAAGATAGGATAACAAGGGCCCTGAAGTTGAAGTGAAGAGTTTCTCATTTCTGGCGTAAGGAACTCAAAATAATCATAGTTCATATCAATCCATGATTTATAGCTTTCTGGATTGCCATGATTGTCAACTCTAGCTTTGCTTTCAACCGACGAAACCCATTAAGGTGAGAATCTTAAAGTTTGTAACTTTATCTGGCTGTGCATTTTACTAATGGAGTTTCTGCAAGTGGAAGCTGTGGTTTTGCCATGGGTGTGTGTAACAATTTATGGATTCCCTTATTTTTGTGTGTGTTTTGGGGGAAAGGGTATTTCTTGCGGTCCAACATTTTTTTACTTAACCTTTACTGTCAAATTTTTGGTTTTTTAATTTGACTAATTGTTCAACTAATATACCACAAAAATCCTATGTTTGTTAGATCTTTTATTATTGCATGTTATTGTCCACTTTCCTACTCTTGTTATTTATTGGTTGCTGAGGAACTGAAAGTCTGAAAGAAGATTTGAAACCTGATTGTATGGTAGCATGAAACATATAATTTTTTTCAAGCGTTTGTTGTTATGGTTGTGTAGATTGTTGTCACTGGTTGGCACTCTAGACTCACTGCAATCTTCTGTAATAGTTGAAGAACGACCCACTAGATTGTTGTAGACGGAGAGAACGAGGATGAGAGGCTTTCCAGAGAGGTGGCGAAGGGCAGCGGAGGTCGCCGAAGGGCGGTGGAGGGCAGCGGGCCTAAGGTGAAAGGTCGAGGCAGAGGTGGTGGTGTCGGGGGTGGAAGTCGAGAAAGGGAGGAGGGTCGTTAGCCAGCTCAGACTATTTTTACTTTAAGGAGATGGATCAAAGCGTACAAAGTTTGAAATAGGGATGAAAAACAAAATCGCTTGATAGTTGAGGGACTAAAAACATATTTAACCCTAAAAAAAGTTATATTCTATAATAACATTTATTAAAATAAGACAATTATTCTTAACACACTTATTAGTAAAATCATATATTTAACTAAAAGATAATGTTAGTTTGTTTCCTTTTCATTTCATTTTTTCTATAATAATATCAAACTAACCACTAGTGTAGTTAAGGGAAACGACAACAGTTATTTTCGCCCATAGACAGCGATTCCTGAACCGAGACATATACAGGTGAGACAAAAAGGGATAGAATTTTGCCTCGATTCAAAGGTAACTGAAGCATTATGTTTTTTCTTTTTTTATTTTTCTTTTTCAAATGACTTTTCGCCTCGGTTCCTTTTGAATCGAGGCAGTATCTTGCAAAAGTCACCATCAGTTGCTACCAAAGGAGGAGCCACTACAATTGTGCTTCTTGAGTTTGTAGCTTTTATTACTTTGAGGTTGAACAAGCCAATACTCTACAGACCTTACAGAGTGTTGTTGCCAACATTTTGGGCGGCCATGTTATGTTTGCCTCCTGCTTTATTGCTTATTCTTGTGATGTGTTTGGCTTCTTCGAGAACTTTCTTTGTGAGTGGAGTTGTAATTCTCTTGGGGTTCATTATGTACCATGTCTTAGTTCAACCCAAAAATAAGAACTGGATTCTATTTAAAGAAGACTCACCTACCTTGCATTCCTCTGGCTGGTAGCAATGCCACTTAGTTGTTTCAGAATTGACTGACCTCGACCAAGAAAATAAGGGTGTTGAGCTTCTTGTGACCTCGCCATTTGCTAGTGGGGAAGAAGAGTTGTGTTTAGTGCACAATGATTCTAAAGTCTAAAACAACATGGCAGGATCTTCTCTTCACATTATTTTTTGCAGCAACCTAAGCATATGATGTGTCTCGCAGCCTTGGACACTGCCCAAGCAGCAAGAACAGGGGCGTGGTTTTTTGTTATGCTAGGGCTTATTAATTCCAATAATCTGTGAAAAACAAATATTAAGGAGTAGAGGTGGGAATCAGTGATAACTAAACTTGGCAGAGGTGGGAATCGGTGATAGTGAGAACATGGGCATGGTACAAGAGGGTCTTCTTCATCCCCATGGTGCGGTCGTCATGGGTCACAGGGCGGTCCTTTCC